TGCAAATCTTTCCACATCATGACGTAGACATGTGGGGGCGTGTTAAAATGAGCCATTTTAGGTAGGTGTGGTTGACTTTTTAACTTTTATAAAGAATATCTCTTTAGATTTGAGACTTTAGTCTTTGCAACTTTACAGATCTTCTTTATGTACCAAGAGCTTGTAACACTCCAAAGAGAAAGGAACAATTGAAATCGCATCATATGACCCCTTTAAGACATTGATTTATTTTTCTTTCTTTCTTTGTACAGGTCAGAATGGGCTGGGTAAATCCACATTGATGAACACACTTTTTAAATCTAAAGTGAGTCGCAGATCTTTGATGACAACAGAGGAAGACCGAATTCCCAAGACAATTGAGATCAAGTCCATCAGTCATGGTACAAAGGCCTTCTGAACTAAAACTGAAGCCAACACCTGCTTATCCATTTAAGGATAAGTCGTATTTTAACACTTCTGACTGTCTCATAAATTTAGTTATCCACTTTGTATATTCAAACTCATCTTTTATACAGATATCGAGGAGAAAGGAGTGAGAATGAAGCTGACTGTCATTGACACTCCAGGTTTCGGAGACCAGATAAACAATGAGAACTGGTCAGTGTCAACTTTATTAATTGTTATTTAACTAATTCTTTGATTACTTGGTGGTCTTGTTTAGAGGTCGACCGATGTATCGGTTTTGCCGATTAATCGGCACCGATAGTTGATTGCTGTAACTATCGGTTATCGGCAAAAATCCATGCCGATAGTTTTCCGGATTGCGTCCGTTGCTGGAGCGGCTGAGAAGGGTCTACTGTCGTTATACAGTGCGAGAGCGGACTCTAGTGGTTGAAATCACTGACAGCACATGCTATTTGTTTAGACACATGACACTGCACGCTGAACAGAGGGGGAAACTTCAGACGCGGATGTAAATGCAGCCGACAGGAAATCCTGCCGCGCCACAGAGTGCGATTCACAGTTTTCCATTCAATTACATTTGTCCCGAATCTTTGTTGATGTACATAATGAATTGTGTATTGTGCATTTTCAGCGAAACGTTTGTCTTTCTGTGGCTCTAATAAA